TCGATAACCATTTATATAGTTTACCTAAACTTATATCAATAAAAGCATATATAAATTTTTATCTTAAAATCAAGTAAAAATATTTTAAGCTCGAATTAAATTAGATGAGAGATAAAAAAAAGTATAATACTGAAACCAAAACTCTACCCCATTTATGTCCATCCTATTCCTACTAATGAATCGAAATAGTAGTAGCCCGAGTCGGAGCTCAATGTTCATGGCTTTAGAATTTTAGGGAAATTCAATGATTAATTACTAAAAAGGAGGATTGAGTCTTATTATAGTTTATAAAATCATGATTATTATATTTTAAAAATAATAATAAATTTTGCATGAACCAAATTACTTTAGTAGTTAAAAGAACGATTGTTATTAAAAGTATCGGGTTCAAGTACCAGTAATTGTAACATTATGTTCTTTCCAAGTAAGAACGAGATCATCTTCTTCTTTCGTCAATCCCCAACCCGCTGCATGTTCATCAAGCATTGTCTCCACTTCCGAAACCCCTTCTTCCCTGAAACCACCTCCTCTAAATTAACTCCGTGTTCCTCATCCGTCGCAACCATCGCCGCTTTCGATTCGACCCTCTCGACCCTTTTACTTGAACTGAAGACCCTTTTACTTGGTCGAATTCCACTTACAAGTTAGAGTTGTTCATAGTAATCCTTCTAAAGATCTTAGCGTCAAACATAAGAATAAATAAAGAAATACTAGATCAAGTTCAAACAAGGAGATCTCATGTATGTTAAGTAACAGATCTCCACACTAGATTTTATAGGGTTAATTATTTTACGGTAAAAAGTAAAAGATTTGTAGTGGATATGATATATATATATATATATATATATATAAGCTTTTATTGGCGGTATGATACTTAATATTAGGGTAAATTATATCATTTTCATTTAAGTTTATTTTCTCCTATTTTACTCGTTGAACTTTTGAATTATTTATGTTTTGATAATTCTGAATTGTTTTATTAATATTTTGGCATGAATTGGTATTTATTATTATAATTAAAATATAAACATAATTTAAAATAAATAATAAAATACATATTTTTATTATTAAAATTAAAACATTTAAAATAATTATTGTCCACCATCGACCACCATTAACCACCATCGGCCTTCGAAACTAGTAGTTGTTCGTTTCCAAATTTCATGAGTCACTTCGTCTTAACTCCTAAGTTCGAATCTGGTGGTTGTTTCAACGAAAAATATTCCAAAACTCGTGAATTTTGACTGGAAAATTTTGGTTTCCTCACTTTCGATCTTATATTTGGGAACTTCGAAGCATGTTCCGACAAAAATGAAAGCCGAGTTTGGACTTAGGGGTCGAGACGAAGCAAACATGAAATTTGGGACCGAACAATCACCATCTTCGGCGGTCGACGATGGTTTACATTATGTTTTCTCATTTTTGATCGGATTTTGAGCATGTTCCGATAAAAGGGAGGTCAGATTCGGACTCAAGGGGTCGAGACATAGCGATTGATAAAATGTGGGACCGAACGGCCACCATCTACGATCTCAACGGTGACGTCCAAAGCCGACGTACAGTGGACCTTCTATTTTTATTTTATATTTTAAATTATTTTTATATTAAATAATAATAAATTATATAATGTGATACTAAAATAATAATAAAATAATTAAGAAATTCCAAAACAGAAATAATTCAAAAGTTTGATATTAAATTAAAAAATTAAAAATACATCGAGTGAAATAAGAGTGAGTAAAATTCAATAAGGAATAATATATTTTATCCTAATATTTTATAATTTTATTATATAATTTTCGATCATGATAAATTTCTTCTTTTCTGCCTATAATTTTTTTCTTATTTAATATTTTTTACATAAAATTTATTCTATTTTCTTATTTTATCTTGTGATTTCTCACTTATCTTATCCAATTTCATAATAATATTTAGTTTATTATAAGAATCCCTTTGGTATCTTTTAGTGAATACGATGTTTAAGCCGTTGAGAATGACCTCTAGTTTCGATTTTTTTCTTTTTATATTTATTTAAAACTAAGTTAGATACTTTTTCAAACATATTTATAATATTTTGTATAATGTATATGTTACATCTCTACTCACATATAAATCAGTGGATATTGAGCATCTAAATGTCTCGATCCTACGTCCTCTATATATTATTATATTAATAATAATATCAATCAAACTAAATTTAATAGACGACGATTTCATAATTGATATCGTTATATTTATATAATATTTACGTAAAATAATAATCCTGAAATATTATATGATAATGTAAATTTTAATTCTCTAAATCATATATAAATATTAAGAAGATGTTGTATCTGTATTATCTTTATACTATTTATCATGTTTTATATTATATGATATTTATTTTCTTCAAATGTAATTTTCGTGTCACATGGATTTTATTAATATATCTTTATTAGAATGATGGCAATTCTCATATGGTGACAAGAATAAACTTATTCATTATCTCTAGGCATGAACACTGAACAGTTAGATTAGATAACGAAGTACTGAATCATGATTAGACATAGAGAAGGAAATATTAATATTGAAGAGTTTTTTTATCATAACTTTTTTTAATAAAACATTATTTGTGGAGTGAGACATTCGTGTTTCGTGTTAAGATAATGTATTTTTTTTGGTACTTTTACTTATTTAAATATTGATATATTTCAATATAATTTTATCATATTAGTTCTCCAACACAACTTATAGAAAATAATGACAATAAAAATTTAAAAAATATATATATTTATAAAAAATTAAAAGTAAAATAATTTTTACACTAAATTCCCCATCTAGGGGCGTGTTTAAGTATGTGTACAGTGCACGGCGACGCAAGATTTCAAAAAATAGGGCCCTCGAAATATAGTATATGCATCAGTTGTTGTCATTAAAAAATAAAAAAAATATATATATAGAGCAGTGGTTATATTATTGGGTCTATGACATTGTTTATTCTAAATTCGAATCTTATTAACAATTAAAATTATTTTTGAGAAGAACAATACAAGTGGACCTACTAAGTGTAATACATCTATAAATTTTTTATTATTTTAAAAAATAAATTTAAGATTTAAAGTTATCTTTACAAGAATTTACACAAGAACTCTGAATACCTAGCCACGCTCTGTCCGCATCTTTCCGCTGCTTCACGCTCCATTCCTGAAGAAATGTATCATTAGGTCTTTGTCTTCATTTTCGGGATTCGTTTAAAAAAAAGGATATTGGTGGTATATTTTTTAATGTGAACTGAAAGTTTATTATGTGTTTCATTTTAGTTTTTTAAATTGCAAATCAGGATGTGCATCATTAGGATAATATTAATTATAGTGATATTATGTAAAAGATCCGGGGGGAAAACTTTTAAACCATTCTTAAACTATTTTTTATTTTTTATGGATAATTACTATATATATATATATGGGTGGTGAAATGGTGACGTGGAACCAATCACTTCCCTTGATATGAGGAAAGGATACCATCAAGTGGGATGGGAATGGGATAGAAGAATTTACACGAAGTTTCTCTTGATTAGAAAGTTTTCTTAAATTATTATATTTTAATTTACTTTAAAAATATATTAAATCATAATTATTCTTAATAGTTTGAGAGTAAAATTTTGCGTGTTTCAACCGACGAAGCTAGTTCTTTCTTATACGCCTCCTTGCATCATCCAAAAGCCGCCTGCCAATGAGTTGTCTGTTAAGCGCCGAAAGGTCCCCCAATGCCGTAAATGAGACGAGATAGATTACGAGTTATTTGAGATTGACTCGATCAAAACTCGATAAATACTCGGATCAAATAGATTCGACTCGAACTCAAGCTCGACTCGAGTTCTTAACGAGACGAAACGAGCTACTTGATATTCGACTCAAAAAGCTCGTGAGCAGCTCGAAAATATAATATATTAAGATTTTATTTTTTTTAGAAATAAATTATTAATAATATTAATATTTATGTATTGATTTTTTTATAAAAAAATATAGTAAGATTTATTGTATTTAAGGTTCATGTTCCAGTTTGAGTTTGAAGCTTCAATCGAGTTAAGTTTAATAATTTTTTTTTTCATTTCGAGCTTTTTCAAGCTGCTCACGAGCTTCAGTTTAGGATTTCGAGTTCGAGTCGAGCTTGAAAATTTTAAGCTCGCGAGTTTTCGAGTCGAGACGAACTCGAACATTGCTCGAGCTCGACTCGGCTCGTTTACATCCCTACCTCCAACAACCCCATTTATTCCAAACAATCAAAATTCTCAAATTTCTTCCTTTAATATTTATTGTGGATAATTACAAGAGAGAAAAAAGAAAGTCCAGAAGTCCATGTTTTTGCCATTACTTTCTAATTTTCTTAGAAAATATATAATGTTTTCATTTATTATAATAATAAAAAATAAACTAATATTCAATTAATAAACCCTATAAGATCCTATCCAAATAATTGGGAGGTAACAAAGGGATGAGACGCGCTAGGTTTGGGATGCGGGGGACACGACACAATGACCCTGGAAGAAAATTTGTGTGGGAGGAGTACAATTTATGTTCTGTAGCTTTGTTGCTTCATAAACTGTTACTATCACTATTATGTAAATTTATTTATTTTAATGATCAATTCTAATTATTAATAATTGTTAGAGATAATAGTATCTATTACATTTATAATAATAACTATTGCAAACGCAAAGAAACTCGAAATTTTGTAATTTAACTGTTATTTCAAAAAGAAATTAAAAATAATAAATGAAAATAAACTATGATTTATTCATCAACCAAATGAAAAAAGAAAAACGAAGAACACAATTTAATGATAAAAAACATGATTCTGTACATACTCATTTTCTCTCCCACGCACAGTTTTTACAGTACTGAAACAAATAAAAAGAGAGGAATCATATGCCGGTAATTTACGGGCTCTCCCCGGAAAATGAATTTTCCGGGAAAACGTGCCCCCAAAAATAATCTAACCCCCAAATCATTTCAACGTTAGATTCACCGGAAAAAGAAAAATCTCTCTTTATTTTCTCTTTAAACAAACAAGTTTAGTAACTTCCCATCATCTGCGAGCCTTCTTTCAAAGCACGTAGCCGTCGTGACAGATTCCTCCGAGTTCATAGACGGAGTCCCCGGCCGGTTATTATCCGCCATTTGGTTTCCTTTAAAATTTGGAGCCAGGCAAAGATCCAGATCGGACGGCTGTGATTTCTTCAACTCGTTCATGGTTTTACGCTTATGTGATGAAACCTTAGATCTTGAACTGGAAAACCGACAGTTGGAGTTCAAACTCGTCACCGTTTCTTGCAGCTTCCACATGTCCTCCGTACCCGCTGCTTCGGATGCTTCATTACATTCCGATGTCGGAGCCATGAATTCCGGTATCGGCCGTAGAGTTCCGCCACGGAGAACGGTTTCGACCGCCGCTTGACAAATATGCCAGTTCCCGGTCCATAGAAGCCCGACAGCTCCATTCACGGGATTCACCGTTCTACCGCAGGCTTCGAACAACAGCGACTGGAACAAAGCTGGTTGGAAGTTCCATCACCAGAACTTGAGAACACATAAAATGAAAAAAAAAAACCCAATAATGTAAAGAAAGGAAATTAGTGGCAATACCAGGGCGTTGAGATTCAGGAACGGCGGAAATGAAAGACATGAGACCAGCGCGGCCGAAGAACTTGGCGACAAAAACGGTGGCGAAGCCCTGTGATTCGAGATTATCGATCCATTGTAGACATGGACGTAGAACACAAGTGTCGCTGCATCCTTTTCGTAAGACTCGACACCCGTTGCAACTCATGAATATATCCCAAAGCTTTTTCAAGGTTCAGGTCGTTGGGTTGACGAAGCTGATACTTGGATTTCAAGCAACAGGGAAGAAGATAAAAATGGCTTCTAAGGGAAAACGATAGAGAGAGAGAGCCGGAGAGGGATTTGAAACAGGGAAGTGATAAATAAGGGTTTTAAAGTGGAAAACTAAGAAGGCTAAACTCTGAAACTAAGGGGTGTTTAGACGAGGGAAGGTGAGATTTTAAAGTGATAAATAAGGGATTATCGGTATTTTGGATTAAAATACTCTTAAATTATTTTAGATTTACAAAAAAAATCTATAATTAAAATTTTATATGAAGTTCAAGGGTTTAAATAAAATTTTACACTTTCATTAATTTTGTAAAAAATATATAAATATTATGAATTTAATTTTTTTAAAGAAAAATATATAAATATTTTTCAACTTGTAATATTATACAAATATATAATAAGGATAATTTGGTCAAATATACAATAAGAATAATTTGGTCAAATATACATTCCAATAATCTTTTATTTTTTTAACCAAATACGGTAATCTTACAGTTCTGCTAAGCCAACCAAACAGAAAATACAATATTCCCAGTAATTCTATTCCCTGGTAATCTTATATTCATACTGATAATCTTATATTCCGTGAATCAAACGCCCTAAGGGTTCAATTAGTTTGGTAGTGAGTGGTGCGTTTATTAGGTAACAATACTTCAGCTTTCCACTGCAATTTTGAATAAAAATTAGGTTAAATTCTTCTATTAAACTCTACATTACGTGTAAAGAATGGATTAAATTAAAGTACATAAATAAAACCTGTGATTAATATATAATTTATGAACTAATGGTTGAATTTGATATAAAAAAAATATGGTTGATTTACATTAATAATTTGTTTTTTTCCAATGCATCAAAAAAAGAACTCATCTGTTAAAAAATGTTAACTGAATTTAAAAAATTATGTTAAGATTTATTAGAACATACTTCTGTTCAACTTAAATAATTGTGAAATGAAAAATCAGCGGAAAATGATTTTTTAAGAAAGCAAGATGAATTAATATTAATTATTAGTCACATTTAATAAAAAAATATCTTGACCTTTTTATTTGCTTCAACCCTTGTTATAGGAGGTGAAGTGTGAGTACTATTTAAGGTAATAAGGTCTGTTTGTTCTGAGTAATATTATATTATCTTTAACAATATATTTTAAAATAATATTATTCTGTTTATTTTCTAATATTGTTTAATAAAATAATATAAAATTACTAAAAATGAGCATTGTTTAAGAATATAAAGATTCAAAAACTTAAGGTTTGATTTAATTTTTTATTTCTCGGGAACCGTTGAGTGCAATGGAGGAAGAGAAAGAGATTAGATTCCTCGGCCGCAAGCGGCTCCGTGTTTCCGCGGCTGGTTGTCGCTCCACCCTTGGATTAAGGGAATTTATTTTTTTTAAAAAGAGAAAAATAGACTTTTTAGGGCTATATGGCAATATGAATGGCAAACGGGTATAATTTTGTGGATTTCGTAATGTATCCGTTCTAATTGGGGTGGGGATGGATATAATTTTAGTGGGTAGTGGTCGGGTGTGGATTTAGAAAGTGGTACCCATCGCGGGTAGTGGGCGGGTGATGGGTTTGAGACCTTACTCGCCCCGCATCCGCTCGCCCCACATCCGCCCGCCCCACATCTGCCCGCACACTAAATACCTTTTAAATTTTCGACCATTATAAATTTAGGTATAATTTTAAAGACTAATTTATAAATCTTAATATTGTATAAGATATATGATGTCAGGCGGGTCTAGTCGGGTACGTCTCCAGTTGTGTAGTGGGTGTGGGGTTAGATTTGAAAATGTACCCGCGAGGACGAGGGGTGGATTTGAATTTTTTTTTAGAAACTAATCATTGAGGATTTTGCAAGAGATTAGGAGACATAAGACTCATTAATAGTGTAATTAAAACGTTAATAATTGTTAATTAAAATTTAAAATTAACATATCAAATAATTCTTTAAAAATTACATTAAAATATGCAATATCAAAGTATATCAAACTTATAATATATTGATTCGATAACCTATTAAGTGGTAGTGGTTAAATAATGTATTGTTCTCCTTAGAGATCATGAATTCAAACAATTACAAAATGTGTGCACGTTATCAACAGTTAAGAAAATTTTTTAACGATATTATTTTATAATCACCTTACTCAATTAAAATATATATATCGACTCAAAAATTGGTTCAAATTTTAATATGGGTAGTTATGGGCGGGCGATATCATTAGGTGTTAGCCATGCTTTTATTGTGAAGGAATGTACAATGTAACCAATAAATCATGACATCCCTTAGGCATTGTTATAAACTCATACATCACAACTAATTCATGTAATTATTTAGGATTTGCTTTTAATATTTATTTTCTTACTAATAAATACTTCAATCTTTCAATTCATGCAATTGATATGTCACGATCACAAGAATTTCGTGTATCTAAATTATGAAATTTAACCTTTTTTAGATTAATGTGAATCAAAACTTAGGGGTTGTTTGTTTACTTCAGAATGATTAAGTGCTAAATTATTCAAATGCTGAATAATTCAGAGGCTCTGTATGAATTAGCTCTGAATGTGACATGTTGTTTGATAATGGCTCTGAATCATTCAGAATGTACTTCTGTGCTGAATCAGTCAGCACTGAATCATTCAGAGGTGAGAAACAAACAGTCTGAATGCTAAACGGTTCAACATTCAACGCTGAATGGTTCCATTCACAGCCAAACAAAGAGCCTCTTAGTTTAATAATAAGGTTAAGGGATAGAGAATTTTAGTATTCAAATCTCATTGCGTATAACTATCATGGCTGATATCAAAAGAGTAAAAGAAATTTAAAATATAGTTTTTTTTCTGTTAATTATTTTTAGTTTTTCTTCTAGGTTTTACCTTATTTTTCTTTCTTTTTTCTTAGTCGTCTTTAGTCTCTTTTCTTATTTATCTTTGTGATCGACAACGACATCAATCTTGGTGCTGATCGTCAACCACCAACCTTTGGAAGTCTGCCTATATGACATAATTTTCTCTGTCTTTATGACACGTTTTCAGTCGTTTAATCGTTATTTTCTTTTAGCCTTTTTTTCTCTCCAGGTTGGATTTGACTTTGCCACTACTGAACAAGATGATGCTTTATTTATTATCATGATGATCTTATCTGCTTTGGATCATCATATTTGATTTAGATATGCGATTTTGTGTTCACGAATAGTATTTTTCACGTTGCTCAATTCTGATTTATGCTTTGACAGTGGCCTCTCAATAGCTTATTACATTTTGTGGTTCGTTTGCATATGCGGTCAGATATGTTTGTATCTATCTTTTATCCGAGTTTATTTGGTTAGGTTTTTTGCCCTTCTCCTTGTATGATCCTTGTGATCTTAAGCGTATAATTTTCTAGTGTTTAGAAAAATACTTTTATTATGTATTTAGTTTATGATTATAATTATAAATAGTTATTATAATTTAAATATTTTTTTACTTTTTAATAAAATTAACGAATTCTAACAAATATATATATATATATATATATAAATTTTTTCTTACCCGAAATAACTTTATATATATTGTCCAAGTGAATGAACCTACTTTATTCATGTAACAACCTTATCTTCACTATTATTCTTTTCGCTATTTAGATCTGGTAATCGATCAGAAATGACATATAATATAGTTTGAACTTATCCTTGATTAGGCATGGACGAATTTTTAGCTATCAATGTGGATCAGACATTTAAAAGTTTATATTTGAATTTGGTTCGATTTTAATTTTAATCTAATTTAATCTAATTTAATTTAATAAAATATAATACAAATACAATTTGATTTTATATTTTTAATAATAAATTTAATGTTTTCCCCACAATATTAATAATGAATAAATATAAAAAATAAAAAATGTTTTACTAAATATATTGAAAAAATCATTTAAATACGATTTATTTTTTTTAATATTTTTTAATCTCTGACTTTAAATAATGTTACTTTTAAAAAAGATGTGAATTCAATCAATTATATTTACGTAGTATATAGATATGTGTATTGACAATGTACCGAAAAAATATAAATAAATATTATTTTATAACCGATATATGTTATTAGAAAAATTATGTATTCATAATATTTTCAAAAATGCAATCACATATTTATGGCAATTGGCAAATTATAGTTATCAGTGGGAGCTGAGAGTCAGTGATATGAGAAGGAGCCTATAGTGAACCTCGACAATAAACATCAATTTCATCGTTTATATAATGTTTTGTTTGGATTATACGGCTTCCTTTGTATTTTTGTCGACAAAATTCAATGTTCTCGGCGGGTTCTCTTTGAAATTACATTTAAATAAAATAATTAAATCTTTACCATTGACATTTGTTAATGGAAACAAATTTAATTATCGATAGAAATAGATTTACCTTATCAGTTATTTACGGGGTTTTTGTTTTTAATATATATGTAAGAGTCGTGGTTAATTAAAGAATAATCGTTGGCCTCTTATTATATTCTATGTAAGAGAGAGTTTGTCATAAGGTGAGATGGTAATAATAAATGTAAAGATTATGGAAGCCAGGGTCCTCCTCTCAGTCAAATTGAATGATATCTTTAACGGCGTATTTGACTATTCATAAGTTAATAAGTCAAATAGACTTGATCGTTAGATATTAAATTTTACGCTGATAAATCACACGAGTCTATTAGATGTATTGTCTATGCACTATAGTTAGTCTAGAAAGTGTAGTATTCATGTGGCATGAGGATATGAGTTCCTCAAAAGCGCTGGTAAGCTAAGAAATATATTCGAAAGTCTTGACTAGCGAAGAGTTTGATGTTTCTAGAGTGACTTCCGAAGTATAACAATTGCCTATTTGATATAACTGATCGGATTATGAAAATAAAATCATCTCTAATCATGGCCTATTTGATAAATGATACAGACCAGTTATCACAATAAAATCCCTAAATGTTAAATTTTAAAAATTTCTTACAACTGTGATAATCAGATCTACCTTTCTGCTAAATTGCTGCTTAAGTAAAAGAAGGATAATCCAGAACTGCTAATTCATTAAATCAGAGAATTTTGTTAAATTAAACAACAATTTAATAAATTTTAAAAACTAAAAATATTCATACAAACGCAGATTTATAATCAACATTCAAATAAAAAATAAATAATATATGTAATGCATTAATTGATCCTCTTAAAAAAAGTCGGATTTTATAACTTATATAAAACTTAACAAATTTTATATGCAATAGTTAATATTGAACTACTAATCTACAAACGGCTTGTTTTCCTCCCCTTTTTTTTACAAGAAGAAAAATGGAATAACTACATTTTTTTACAAATAAATGCCACTTCAGTAAGTGTGGTTACCTTGAAAAATTATTATACGAATCTATCTCACTACGTCATTTATGATTCCGATCAATCACCGACATTTATTCACACTTTTTCTCTCTACTCTATTGTTTTTTTATCTCTTTCTCCATTTTCACTTTATTCCCCCAAAGAATGAATCTTCACTTTTTTTCTCCATGTAAACATAGAGTGTGAATGATAACTAGAAAAAATAGTGAAATGAATTGTTTTTATCAGTAAAGATCATAAATGACGTGATGAGTAAGATGTCTGAAATAATTTTTCTCGAACCTTTGATAGTCATGTCATGTAGCAAATCCCACTGCATACTATTGATCGTCATGAAGAGATGGAATTAGAGGACACAAGGAATGATACACTTCCTCTAATCCTCTTTGTTCTCAAAATCTTCTTCACTAGTAGTTTCCACTTGATCTCATCCTTCTTGCTTTGTTTCCTTATCTTTTCCTTGAAATTCCTGCAATATAAAACTTTGGGTTTTAGCATTCTCAATTATTATAAGAAATGAATGGAACGATTAATCGATCTAAAAGGATTATTACTTACTGAACAAATCAACATCAACCATATTTTTGTAATTCAATTCGCATATAGAAGTAACCAAAAAAACCAAAACAAGAATGGTTTTCCTAGGTACCTGCATAAAGGAACTCTACAAACTTTTGAATCAGCACAGAGACGGGAGTGTAACTCCAGCAGCCGCCACATTCTCTTGCAATGAATGCAGCCGCCGGGGACTCTCAATTTGCAACCGGCGAAGTGACGAACGAGCAATTCGAGCCCTTTGCAGGCTCTATATTTGCAAGGTGCTTGGTTCTGGGTGAAATCCTTATCGTGTGGACCAATTGTTCTGCAACCATCTCTGCAAATATGAACAAGAGCCTCCATTGCTTCAAATAATTCAAGATAGATCTTCTGTTCCTTCGATTTTCTGATTTTCTCCTTTTGATTCTGAGAATTACATTCAGACATTTAAACAAGAGACTGCATCTAGGTGCTAATAACAATGGTATCGAAGAAAAGCCTTCAGAAAATCACTTACGTTCTCTTCTTCAATCACTGATTCCAGAAGCTCTTTTTCGAGTCCTGGATGACTGTTCCTCATCGAACTCCATCCTTTAGTAGCAACAACAGCCTTGAAGTTCTTTAAGATCATTCGGTGACTAATCAGAGTTAGCCGAGGTGCATTGCAGAGTAATGAAAGCTGGAAAATATCAACTACGTTTTCTGTATTCAGCAATCCATGCTCCAATTCTACTTCAACAACTCGCTTCAATCGAGGCACATTATATGCGTGAGACAGCACCAGCAATGGCACCACAAATTCTTTCATTTCTTCATTTTCATAACTGCAAAATGAAAGCCAACAACAAATTATCACATAGTTGCATGATGCAATAAATGGCGGATATTTATTTCGATTGATTCATACAATTTATTAACAAATTCTGGTTCAAACCCTAGCATCTGCAATAGGAAAAGAATGGTTACCAGGAAGAGTACAAGAATCGGATAAAAACTCGAACTGCATCTTGATGAACACCATGGATGGAAATTGGTTTCTTTTCGCCACATCCTTTTGCTCTTTTCAACATGCCTCTTAAAACTGGGGAAGCCATGCCCTGTTGAAAAATATCCAGTGAAGGGATTGAGTCAAGAATTTGTTTAAGAAATAATAGGTTAATATCCGAAATGAAGGATGTATTTACAATAAAAATCGATATGGATATAAGGAATGCTTACAAGAACATTAGCATGTGCATAGATGATGTCACCGTTATCTGTTTTGATGGTAACGTCTGCTCTATATCCTCCATCAAAGAGATCATCCCATAAATCCTTGGTGGTAGTTGAAGCACAGTTGTTCCCTGTTGTGGTTGATCCATTCTTCCGCCCATTATTCGGAGCTTTAACTGGTAATGGAGGTGGCGTTGGATAAACATCCTTAACAGGTTGATTAGTAGGAGGAGGAGATTTCTTTCTAATTGTTTCCTTCTTTCCCATTTGAATTCAGAAATAACAAATCTAGAAAAAAAAATGAAATTGCAGAAATTTGATAAGCAACTCAAATTCGAAATTCATAATTTTCATCGATCGCTTTGAAAATTTAAAATTCAATGATCAAACTGAAGAAATGATATCGAATTAATCAATTGTTTTTCCCTTGAATTTCCTCATAGGTATTAAAACATAGGGATTGAATTCAAATCAATTTTAACATGAAATCTAATCGCAACTTTCTGAAATTTGGAGAGAAAATGGATGAATAACGTACCTTCTTTATTTCCTTTTCTTTTGCCTCTCTTCGGAACGGCCAAAATAACTTTCTTTCCCGCTAAAAAGCTATCAAAGAAGAACAACGGCCGTCAAAACCACCGTCTGAGATTCTTTTTCTCCTTATAAAATCCAACACCGAGCTGCTCTCCTGCAGCTCGGTTGCCGGAAGTTATTTGAGAGAGAAAAAGGAACCCCAGAAGTTGAATTAAAAGATTAAAAAAATATATAATGTAATAAAGTCATTTGGTTCCGGTCAATCCGTTGCTAAAGTTACAAAAATGTGTTGAAAATTAATTCAAGTATATTGAAGGCCACTCAACAATATTCAAATAATCATTTTGATTGTTAATTTTAAAAAAATTATAAAATGATCATTATATTTTATAGTAATTTGATAAATTTTTAAAATCATTTTATAGTTTATGAAAATTTAATAATTAAAATAATCATTCAAGTATAAATTAATGACATATAGTTTAGTTTAGCCAAATAATTTCAGTTACTAAGTTCCACATTCGTCTCACAGCAATCCTCGTCTGTTGAAATAATAAAAAAAAGGAAGATAACCGTTTTCCATATATAAACGGTTTGGATAAACTGCTTTCATCTTTCACGTCTGGCGAAATGGACGGTCAAGCGTTGTCGCTATTTTCTTTTGATCATTTCATTAATGAGTTTGGAGCGTAAGGGTTTGTTTGGTTGGGGGAATGTGAGATTTTTATGAGAATGAGATTTATATTCCTCCGTTTGGTTGGCTGGAAATGTCATTTTTGGAAATCTTACATTACCAATAGTAGATTTTTTTGGGTATATTACTGGGAATGTCATTACCTCCATTTCCTTAGGTATTGTTGGATTACCGGTGTTTTGGACTAAAATGCCCTTAAATTTTTTTTCTTTCAAAAATATTCTTATTCTGTCATTGAATAATAAAAATTCTACGAATGTTAAATTACAAATTTATCCTTAAACTATTTTAGATTTACAAAAAAAATCTATAATTAAAATTTTATATGAAGTTCAGGGGTTAAAATAAAATTTTATCATTTCATTAAACCTTTTTATATTTTCAATTTTGATAAAAAATTATATAAATTTTATGAATTTAATTTTTTAAAAGAAAATATATAAATATTTTTCAACTTGTTAAAAAAACAAATATATAATAAGGACAATTTAGTCAAATATACATTCCAATAATCTTTTATTCTTTTAACCAAACACGATAATCTTACATTCCTGCTAAACCAACCAAACACAAAATAAATACAACATTCCCAGTAATCCTATTCCCTGGTAATCTTTTATTTCTAGTGATAATCTTTTATTTCCACTGATAATCTTACATTCCGTAAACTAAACGCACCCTAATAGTATTTGCATCCGGACAGATGCGTGATTTTAAGTTAGTAAAGATGAATTAAAATTTATAAAATTTTAGGGGTCAAATTTGAAATAAATTTATAATAAATTTAATCATCCAATCAAATGATGTCTATGTCATTGTATCATGTGTCATATCATGTGTAACCATTCGATTGAAAGACTAATTTTATTTAACAAAAAATTGATGAAAACTAAATATATTAAAATAAAATAAAATTAGTCCTCCAATCGAATGATGATATGTGACACGACACATGACACCAATGACATGTTACATCATTCAATTGAAGAATTAAATTTAATTTAGTTTATTATAAGTATTATTAAATTGAGATAATATGTAAATAATAAAGATCAAATGTGTGATTATATCAAAATGTGATGCAAAGCTATAATCAGATCGGAGATAACGCAGTTATAAAATCTATAATGTGATGCAAAACACGACAGGAAGGCATAATACAAATACAGCGGGATTAATCAGCACTCTAATAAACAATGCAAAAGAAATCAAACATGAGATACATAACAACAAAAACTGGATTTTGGGCCGTAAAGCAATACAAATCAATGAACTAAGGTTGCATTTCTTAGGAGCCCCCTTACCGCACTGGAATCTTTGATAAAGGTTAAGAGATTATCTAGGTAGTTTCCATTGTAATCATTATCCCCAGGTGCTAATACTCAGTTTCACAGGCAGTATATATTATCTTGTAAAATGTCTGTTTGCAGCCGAAGTCATATGTGGATAACTTCAAGTGGATGGGACCTGCTGTATCTGCAAAATGATTAGATTATCTTGCAGATCCTGTTTCTTTTTTTTCTTCTTTCAGCCATAAATCAAGTTGCAAGACTCCTTCTCGGGTTTTCTCTGTGGCTCATTTTCTGCTGAATCCCCCCCCCCGGGGGCGCGCGCGAGACAATTTGGATAAAATAAATGTGATGAACGGCGACCAAATGGGTGTTTACCAATGGATTTTGCCATGACAACAAAATATCACGTGTGTTGGAAGGTCGAATCAAAATCCATTACTGAAATTCCTGGAATTTCATGCATCCACCAACATATCTTTTTTTTTTTTTTGGATAAATAATCGTCTTCATTATCCAAAGAACAAGTTCAACAACCAGAACAGAAACTGCTACAAAACCAACAGCGTTCTGTTTACCAAAAAAAATTTACATACAAAAGAATTAAGAGCAGTTTATATTCTAAAGTGTACAAAGGGTAGAATTAGTGCTATCATTCCTATTTATGTTCCTATCCCTCAGCTGGAATCGCACCACATCCTTAATGACAGTAAATAGCTCTTGAGTGTTTCTACAACGACCTTGAAAGAGCCTCCTGTTTCTTTCTTCCCATAGGACATAGATGAGGGAATTAAGAGCAAGCTTCAAGATCAAAGTTAGCAAATATTTACCTTTCCAAGTAGAGCTTTCCCATGCAAAAAAAAAAAAAAACATCCCAAGAGGTTATGGAATGTTGCAGACTAGTGCGAGTGAAAACAGAATTCCATAATTGCTGTGCCATATGACAATGGAGGAACAAGTGCTCCCTTGTTTCCCAAGGATCGTTGCAAAATAAGCAATGACATTCATTGATAATTCTCATTTGGTGAAGTCTCACTTTTGTTGGAAGTCTATCAAGTAATGTCATCCAAGAAATCAAACTGTGCTTAAGAATGTGCAAAGGAAACCAGATAATTTTCTGCCAGTGGACTTGGGATCTGTTATCACAAAGTGCATCCCAAATTGTAGAAACTTTCACAACCGTTAAAAATCTATATGAAATAATAATTGTCGCCACACATAATTTCACAACCGTCTCGGACATTTTTTAGGTTTTGAGCGAAAACTCAAAAAATAAATCCTATAAAACGAAAGTATATTTCATTAATCTGAACAATTAATTTAATATTTTATTAATAAATTATAAACAATAATTAAACTTCGTCAAACACATTATTAATAACAAAAGAATAAGGCCCTAGATGTAAAGATTAAAAAAGGGGGCCCTAGTTATAAAAATTAAAAGAAGGGGGCCCTAATTGTGAAAATTAAAAGAGCGGGCCCATGAGCAATTGCTCAGGGTGCCCCGCCCCTGCCAAGAGCCAGCTCTCCATAATTTGTTTTCAATGAAAAGGCAAGGTATTTTTTTTCTAGGAGTAGTAATTTTCGAAAGTATTATTTTTCATTAAACAAATTTCAAAATTTAGTTTTGATTTAATATTGAGGAATGAAACAAGCAAATAATTTATCTATTCAAACCACTTTCAATTTTCTATTAAAACAGAAAAAAATGAAACATCAAATAATAACCGATTAATATAATATTTTTATATTGAAAGCGTAATTTAAATTTTATCTTTAAATAACACAAATTAATTTATTTTTATAGTTAAAGAATTTTTTTTAGATAAGTAGAATTTTATTATCCGATGAATAAAAGTTCATCAACAACAACTCCCCAATTAGGAGTATAAACAACTTACACCAAAAAATGATTAGTATGTACCCCAATAACTACATAAGTTAATATTAACATTATCTATTCTATTAATGTTTCAGTCACTGAGTTGAGTTCGAACAAGTTCCTTTATCGACTTAAGAACCTGATCAGTTGTTCTTGACCCTCTTTTAAATTTTTTTCTATTTTTTTCCTCCCAAATCGAGTAGATGTAAGCGATCCAAGCTATCTTCAGTATGGTGGAAAGAATAGATTTACCCTTTCATTCTTGAAAAGCCTATTCGATCCTTGAATCCCAAGTCCTGTGTGTATTATGCATGTTAGTATGATTCAAAATAGAGTTCTACAGAGAATTGGGAAAGCTACAATTAGGGATGGCAATGGGTCGGGTCGGGTTTTTGGGCCACCCGACCCGACCCGAGAAGAAAGGGTTTTTCACCCGTGACCCGACCCGACCCGACGAAATTAAGGTTTCACCCGACCCGACCCGACCCAACCCGAATATATGACTTAGAAACCCGACCCGACCCGACCCGACCCGACCCGAAATAATAATAAAAAAAATTTTATTCAATGAAAACAGTGACTTAATTGAAAAAAATTATATATGGAGGGACATTATTGTAATTATCCCTAAATATATAGGATAAAATTATATATTTTTCGGGTCGGGTCGGGTCGGATTTTTTTCACCCTAAACCCGACCCGACCCGACCCGAATAGTACATTTAAAAAAACCCGACCCGACCCGAACCCGAAATTTTTTTAAAAAAATCCGACCCGATCGGGTCGGGTCGGGTCGGAACCCGTCGGATTCGGGTTGAGTTGCCATCCCTAGCTACAATTAACAAATAGATGATTTCTTGATTCAAGGGTCTCATTGCATAAGGTACATAATTCATCAGAGACTATTCCCATTCGAGAAAGTCTATCCCGAGTTTAAAATATTTAAAATAAATATTATTTTATAATAATATTAACTTAATAAAAATTATTTTTACACGAATAAACAGAAAATCGAAGATGAAGACCTTTCTATTCATATAATCATGAAATTTCCGACCAACGAAAAGTACACATCCCAATCAAATTCTTTCCAAAGTTAATTGGATATTACTGCAAAATCCATGAAAGTTCTAGGGGTCCACTGCAAAAAAGAGTGATCAATTTTTGTTTATTAATACTTACACCATACAAAAATTATGGATTTAGTCCTTTATATACAAATTTGGTCATTTTCAATCCCGTGCTTTTTAAAATTTTAAATTTTGGTCATGATATAAGTAATGTATACTAGATCTAATAAGTCGAGTTCTATTACTAATCTTTATATTCTACGTAACTTGTAGATTTAATTAATGTTCTAGTTTAATTATTTATGCATGGATCGGGGATTAATGACGGAATCTGACAAAAAAATCTAATCCCTTATTTTCCTTTTTTAAACATTTCCACGTTTAATTTGTTTCGTTCAAACAGAGGGAACCAAACGAAACAACCACCTTCGGTATTTCCGCATCTCTTCAACGAATTTCTTACTTTCCTTCAATGTTCCCTTCTTTGTGAATAGTGGATTGTTTTTCTTAACTTAGCATTTCACATGCCCCATTAAATTTTCTTTCTTTTGTTTGCTAGGAACGTGACTTTCCTCTGCTTAAGATTTTTGCGGTTAGTTTTTTGTTGTTGTTGTTGCCATCTTTCTTGTTAAAATGGAACTTGTTTTTCGTGTGTTTTTCTTAATATTTGTACGTAAATTTTGATTGCTTTAGAGTCATCCGCGTGAGAATTCTGTGTTTATTGAAGGATCCCATCTGGGTTTCTCAGCTGGTGATTCGTCAACTTTCTTTGTTTTATTTCAGGTACCCTTTTCTCGTTTCATTTCATTTCTTCATTGGGTCTTCCTTTATTTCTTTTTAGAGTTGGAGGAAATGAATTTGTTCTCTTTAGCATAAGGGTTTATGAAGTGTTATTTTACTGAAAGCAGAGCATGGGTGTTGATGAAGATCCAAATATGCCAGCTGATGCAGTGGAGATATGTTTGGTGAGCCCTCCACATGATGGGACAGGGAAGAGATTGTGGGAAAAGGTGAAGTATCAGCTGGTAGAGTACCACTCATTGCCTGGATTTTTGAGGGACAATGAGTATATTTTAGGCCATTATAGGTCAGAATGGCCTATGAAGCAGATTTTGCTTAGCATCTTCAGAATTCACAATGAGACTTTGAATGTTTGGACGTAAGCTTTCTTTCCTTGTTTACATGTACCCTGTTTTAGTTTTGTTGTCAAACGCTGTCTAGCTTGGTCTCCACCTTATCAATGGCATTGGCCATTGGTTGATCTTCTACGAGCACATCACCATTTATGATTATTTTCTTTTGAATTGGATTATATAACTTATGAGTTATGGCTAAGCTTGTTATGAGGATAGATTATACCATTGTTAGGTTTTCACGTCTAGTTTAGATCTCTAGTCCTTGGGAATGTGCCCGTATGTCCTGCGTCCGAAAACTCGCAAGTGAACTTAGTTATGTTGGAAACATCTGCCCTTCATAATGGTCCATCTATTCTCTCAGCTAAGCCATTTTGCTGAGGTGTCTTGTGATATCGAATCTCATGCTTTTTGGTAACTATATATTAATCAAAAGGTCCATGTGAGTCACCTTCATTTCTGTTTCGATGCATTTCATCTTCCTCCCTGTTTCTTCCTCAAGCTTTGAACTGTTTTAACACTTGATCCTTTGTCTTTAATGTATAAACTCGAATCTTCCTTGAACGATCATCAATTAAATTGACAAAGTACGAACCCTCACAAGCCCTTGTCGTCATATGATCACATGCGTCAGAATGTACCAAGTCTTGTGGAAATTGTGATGAGCAAATGAATTGTGTTTTCACCTTTCTATTTAGAATTGGAAAGAGAAGAATTAGAGATTTTGGGAGGAAATGTAAACAAGTCTTGATTTGTGAAGTAACTTCCATGTTGTTATCAATTGAAATCTACTCATTTCTTTAGTATTATAGTCTTGTAAATTCATGTTTCTAAGGCGACTGTTGCTTTGTATGGTCATGTATTGATATTTTGCCACTTGTGCTATGGTATGTTGGGTATGACTATTACCTTTTTCAGGCATTTGATCGGGTTCTTCATTTTCCTTTCCCTTACCATATACACTGCAATGAAGGTTCCAAGGGTCGTCGATCTAGAAGCTCTGCAGAAGATTTCCGATGCATTGAAAAAGGCTGATTTACACAGATTGCAATCAGATATCCTGACTTGTTTGCCTTCCTTACAGAAGATGCCTGATTTGCAAAAACTCCGAGAGGAGTTAAAGACTTCTATTCCTTTAATGAATTTGATTCCTTCACTCTCACGTTGGCATGTTATGGAACATCTGTATAATTGTTTACCTGAGCTTTCATCTGCCAGAAACCACATTGATTCTCAAGTTCTGGTATGTTTCATGTTCTTAAGATGTTCTTTTTGTTGTTGGTAATTGACTTTGCATCTTGGGAGGCTCATGCAGCTTGTACTTTTTTATGTTCTTTCTAAATCGCAGCAAGGTATGAAGGAGCCGATAACACGATGGCCTTTTTTCGCCTTCTTGGGTGGTGCAATGTTTTGCTTGCTAGCCAGCAGCACCTGCCACCTCCTCTCGTGCCACTCCGAACGCCTGTCGTATATATTGCTCAGATTAGACTATGCTGGGATTGCTGCTCTTATAGCAACTTCCTTTTATCCTCCTGTGTATTACTCTTTCATGTGTGACCCGTTCTTCTGCAACCTCTATTTGGGATCCATAACCTCCTTGGGGATCGCAGCGATCTTGTTTTCATTGTTGCCGATGTTTCAGAGACCAAAGTTTCGGAAAATAAGGGCATCTCTCTTCTTTGGCATGGGAATGTCTGGGGTAGCACCCATTCTTCACAAGCTTATACTGTTCTGGCAGCAGCCCGAGGCACTTCACACTACGTTGTACGAGATCCTGATGGGGGTGCTGTATGGTGTTGGAGCTTTGGTGTATGCCGCGAGGATTCCGGAGCGGTGGATGCCTGGGAAATTCGACATTGCCGGGCACAGCCACCAACTTTTTCACGTCCTGGTTGTTGCGGGTGCCATCACTCATTATCAAGCCGGACTGGTTTACCTAAAATGGCGGGACAAAAATGGATGTTAAAAGAACCGATACTAGATAAATCGATGGCGGCGGAGCATTACTATACTCTGCTGGCGAGTTCTTTCTTAAAAACTGCATATACCCATTAACTTTCTTTAACGGCAATGTATCATGTTGTATGAAGAGCTACATTTGTTAAACATAAACTTCCATTAATAGAAAGAGAGTACAAGAGAATAACTAAAATACAAGGGGCGGGTGAGCGACTAAAAAAACTATTTTTTTATTTGATTTGATGTTAAAAAATTCGATTTCATTGGTAATTTTATAAACTCAACTAGTAATAAATTTTAAGTTAGTTTAAAATAGAATTTAATAACTTGAATTTTTTTAATAATTGGTTGATTGATTTTTTAAAATGAAAGGATAAACATTAGCTCTAAACAAACGAAACATATGGCTTTTCCTTTCCTTGCGCCAATTCTGAGATATTCCGATGAAACTCTCCGGCAAGGAAAAAGAAAAAGAAATGCATAGAACCTAACGAGTATAAGATCACCAAATGAGCTATTGGGGTCAATCCAGCGTCTATCCTCTGCAGTCTGTTCTTCCACATACCCAGGTTCCTCTTCGATCCTGTAACTGTCCTTCATTCCCAGATTCCGATCCGAAGTTAGTTTGTACCTTCTATCGGAATGAAGTTAAGGGAATATGCGAACTCAATTGCATGTAGAGCAGCAGTAACCTTCTCCTGAAATGCTGAGGTAACCCATTTCAGTTCTCTTCGACGCGCTCCTAAAATTAAGACTATTAACAGTAACATAATTTATGTTTTTTTTACATCTTCAATTATTCACATATTTGACGGTTAGATATTCATCATGCTTGGACCAGGTTGAGTCAAACGATAATAAAACAACGGTGAAAGTAATTTATTTAATATATAAATAGAGGCACAAACTAATTTACTTTAGTGATTAAAGGAATCGATGTTTTTTTAAAAGTTATAGGTTCGAACATCAACGACTGCATCATAGTGATTGAGTATTCATTGTCAAATAGTTGAGAATATTTAAAATAAATACTACTTTGTAATCATCTTAGTTTAATCAATATATATATACACGCATAAATAGATAACTATGAGGACAGTCATAAAGTTAAGGGTAAATTACATGAAAAATCACTTTCGTTTGAGTTTTATAAACTTTTCTTCACATAATTCAAAAACATAAGATATGTCACTTTCGTTTCGTTTTAATTAAGATCTGGTCACTGAAGGTTAATGGTTTGCTGACATGACACGATAAATATATAAAATAAAAAATATAGCATTTCCACGTATATAACACATGTATTAAGTTTCAGTCACTTTCCTTTTTATATTTGTACACTTTTGGTCACTTACGTTGTCATTTTATTAAGGTTTAGTCACTTACATTATCGTTTTACTAAGTTTTGGTGACTTGGAAATGAGGTAATCAGAGGCCAATACGGTGACAGTGATGCGACAAATCGCGCAGGCAGTAGGGGTTAACGTCGATTCATAGGGATCTAGAATCGAAAAATTATTTGTTCAAGCAAAAACAAAGATTCGACATTGAAGATAATCGATTTTGAATTGAATTCAGTGGATGAATTCACATATCCAGTTATCGGGTTGTTTGGATCCATTGATTATGTTTCACTGGAGGCATTTTCTCGAGGAAAAATACCACGAAGATTGATTTTCGATTATTAGGTTATTTGGATCCATTGAATTGTCTTCTTGTTCCTTGTTGGATTTGACATTATATAATCTTAATATTTGAAAATTGAATTTTAGTTTGTATAACTGAGATTACTCAGTTTCATTTTATCTCTAGATGTCTACCCTCTCATTTTTCTCTGAACTTGTGGTATTATTATTTGTTATCGGAAGTTGGAAATCTTTCATTATTCTTGAAATGTAGCACGAGTCCTTGAAAAAAGACAAATGGAGCAATGGAGCAGGGATGTCTGAAAAAGAAACAGAGAGAAGATGAATAATAATGGGATTGAGAAGAGAACCTATTAAAAATGGATAAATGAAAATGTTGTTCATGAACTAATTTGAATTTATAAAAAAGACTCATAATCAATATTTTGTCTAAAGTGTAAGGGTTAAAATAAAAATTGTACCATTTTACTAACGGGTCACGTCATTCAAACTAACGATATTCAACGTCAAAGTGACCAAAACTTAATAAAACTATAACATAGTAACCAAAATTTAATAAAACGATAACTTAAGTGACCAAAAGTGTACAAATATGAAAAGAAAGTGACAAAAAATTTAGTCCACATATTATCTACATAAAAATGATGTAATTTTAATTTTATATATTTATCATGTCAAATTAGCAAACCGTTAAAGATTTAACAATCGTTAACCTTCAGTGATCACATCTTAATTAAAACGAAATGAAAGTGACCAAATCTTTTTTTTTAAAATTTTGTGAGAGAAAGTTTATAAAACTCAAACAAAATTGTCAATTTCTATAATTTACCCTAAAGTTAATAAATCCTCGATGATGATGATGATATAGAGGTGCTTCAGTCTGATGGCATTATTGATATTTGATGAATCTAGAATTAAATATCGAGAAAAATTAATTGTACGAGTAAGTACCCTAATAATTTTTTATAGAAGTAATTAATTTATTTAAAATAAGAAATATCACAAATTACAATAAAGATTTACAATCACAGTCGTAAATTAAACATATAATTAGAAAAATTTCCTATAATTATTGAAACAAATTGTAGAAGCTTAAGATTACATAAGGACCATACAAAGAAAGATTAAATTTAACCAAAAAGCTCGAACAAAGATAGATATAAACAAATCTAATTGCATTGACAAACAAACAACAAAAGGAGATCAAACTATTAAAAGACCACTGAAAAATCATAAATCGGATTCGAACGACGTGAAAAACTATCCACGAACGCAAATTAAGTGTTCAAATCTAATATGAGGGTCTAAAGCAGGGAATATCAACAAGATGTCATAGAAGCGTCATCTTGATAAGTCGTGACGATGTCAAATCAACTTTTAGAAGAAAAAAAAGATAAATGAAAAAATAGCCAAAAAAATCGAAAAAATATGCCAAAACATATTAAAAAAAACGCGTAACACAGGTAGATGAAAAAATGCAACACTGGCAAATATATTGAAAATCAAAAAACAAAAGAAAATAAAGATACGACATAGAGAAAAAAAAACAAAAAAAATACTGACAGTCGAAAATTAACATTAAAATTAGTGTTTTTGTTGATCAACAAGAATAAAAAAATGAATCGCACACCAACGAGACAAAACTAGATTTTTTTTTCTAAAACCGCATACCCTACATAGTTAAGAGTATGAACAAGACGGTTGTTGTTATAAGCATCTAGAAAGGTTGATAAGGAATAAAAAATAATTTAAAAATCTTATAAAATATAGTATAATGTATAAAAATAATACAAAAACAACGCTAATATATCAAACTTCATTTATTACAAACTACTAATACCACAATAAAAGGTTCACATTCACACTAAATAAAGGTTAAAGTATATTAGAAGTTGTTAAATTATGTTTAAATCATTATTAGCTATTAAAATTTTAAAAAATATATAACGTGAACATAATTTTTTTAAAATTATTATAAAATAATCATTAAATTTATCAAATTTTTATAATTTATTATAACATTGTAATGAGTATTTCATAAGATGTCAATAAATGTAATGATTATTTTACAAATTTTAAAAATTTAATGACCAAAATAATCATGTAAACATAATTCAACGACCTGTAGTATATAAATATTTTACCCTAAGGGTGCATTTGGTTCACGGAATGTAAGATTACCAGTGAGAATGTAAGATTACTAGGGAATAGAATTACTGGGAATGTTGTATTTTGTGTTTGGATGGTTTAGGAGGAATGTAAGATTATCATGTTTGGTTAAAGGAATAAAAGATTATTGGAATGTATATTTATTTTTTAACAAGTTGGAAAATATTTATATATTTTCTTTAAAAAATTTAAATTCATAAAATTTATATAATTTTTTTTACAAAATTGAAAATATAAAAAGGTTTAATGAAAGAGTAAAATTTTATTTTAACCCATGAACTTCATATAAAATTTTAATTATAGACTTTTTTTTGTAAATCTAAAATAGTTTAAGGATAAATTTGTAATTTAACCTTCGTAGAATTTTCATTATTCAATGACAGAAGAATGATATTTTTGAAGAAAAAATATTTAAGGACATTTTAGTCCAAAACGCAGGTAATCCAACAATACCTAAGGAAAGGGAGGTAATGACATTCACGGTAATATACCTCAAAAAATCCACTATTAGTAATATTACATTACCGGGAATGAGATTCACAGACTAACCAAACGGGGAATGTGGATTCCATTCGCATGAGAATCCCACATTCCCCCATCCAAACGCCTCCTAAGGGTGTGTTTGGTTGGGGGAATGTGAGATTCCCATAAGAATGAAATCCACATTCTCCCGGGAATGAAATTCACATTCCCCCGTTTGATTGGCCGAGAATGTCATTCTCGTTAATCTTACATTACCAATAATAGATTTTTTTGTATATATTACTGGGAATGTCATTATCTCCCTTTTAAAATGTAGTATAATGGGAAGTTATTAAATATAGATAGGTCCAACAAAGAGGCGGGCAGGCGGCGGCGGGTGGGGACTGATCAACCGCACGATATAAACGCTTTCATACAAGCGGAATACTATTGAGGAACTAAATAAGATGAATAAAATTTCAATTAATCAAAGGCAAATCACATGATACAAGTGACCTTCACCCCTCGTTTGCTATATCTTATTACTTGAAACTTTAATAGAATTAATATCAAGGGTTAGTTTAATTAGAATTTTATTTGGAGACTATTGAAATAAAATAACCAAATAAAATAAAAATGTATACAATAAAAAACTCTTATTTGAAGATTAATTGTGAAATTAATATATTTATATATAAATCTTTATTACTTCTCATAATAAATTTTTGTAAATAATTGCATACATAAAAAATATTTTAGTTAGTGTGGAAAAATCAATTAAGATTAAACTAATAACTAATTGGTATGTTCCTTTCATTAAATCAGGATTTATGCTGATACCTCTTTACATTTAAAATCCATCAAATATACTTTAATAAATTAATTTTATTAAATATAAATGGAGATTTCCATGCCTTTGCTTCCCTTTCAAAGAAACATCGTTGAACACACGAATGGTGCCAAGAAAAATGCGGAAGGAAAAAGAATTCATTTTTTAATGAATAAAGAGATTGGTCAAAATTCAGGCACTTTGACCATGGCGGGCTGCTAAGTGCTGCTGCTGACAAAAGAATAGTTAGTTGAATTCTTTCCTTTTCTGCAGATTCATCCCACCATTCGACGTCGCTACCATTTTCTTTTAATTATTTTCTTCATATATACAACGTGTGTATCGGCATATCTCACCACGTTCTGGATTTCAAATTCCTCGAGCGAATTAATAAAAGAAAAAGCTTGGAAATTAGTCGTAAATGGAAGCTTATTCATCATCTTCTTCTTCGGCTTTAGCAAGAGGGTCAAAGGACTCGCAGCCTTTCCATGCGTCGCTTCACTCGGTTCGTAAGCCGATCGGGAAGCCGGGAAGAAGCCGATTTCGCCATTGCAACCGTCACCGCCCAAAGTTTACAAGGTCGACCCCATAAACTTCCGGGACTTGGTTCAAAAGCTTACGGTGGTCAACATCAAACGCAGTCGTCTCGCCTTCAGAGAGTGGGGCGCCGCCGCAGCCGCCGCCCGTCCGGGTTGCACCACCACAGCCATTTCATGTGGTTTCCAGAATGTATCAACCGAATCCCCATAACCGAAAATACTCCGATGTATCGTCGGATTCACTTGGGTTCAATTTGTCACCATCGTCTTATAGTTGGTGCACTTTCCCCATTCTCAGTCCAAAAACTCTGTCTAGCTTGGACCAAAGCAGTGTCCCTTAGATAATATGTTTTGTGCCAGTTCCCTCTGTCATTCTTATTTCAGCTTAAAGAGAATGCACGTAAGATTAAAACTACATTCTTTTGTTGTACTAATTAATTTTCAATCTATTCACAAGATCACAATTTTATTTTCAAATATATACACACGCATGCATGCCACTTCTTTTGGAATTTGATACCTGGAATTACTGAATGCTACTTATTAAGAATGGTTATTGTTGATGAATCAGCTTTCTCAGTTGATGAGTTTAATTCTTTGATTTGGATGGAAAATCATTGTCGATGATAAGATGTTTTTTTTTTTGAAAAATGGTACTTTGTATTATAAGCTGATGCAAAGTAAACCACCTCAAGGCCCTCATTAAAAAAAACCCCTAACCCTAAATAGAGGAAAAAGAGTGAACATAGAGGTGGAAGGGAACATATACAATGAACACTTACATCACGTAAAGCATACCCCCAACCACAACAAAACTCACACAAACACACATACAATCCAATCAGCTTAAAGAAATAAGAATAGAAAGGACAACCGATACTGAACTACAAACAGAGCAGCATTGAAGGGGAATGACCGAACAACAGCTGGAACCAGGTTCACTCAACCTGAAGAACACACCAAGACACCAAGGCTTCATCGATCTTCAACAAGCACGCAAAAACAACGTAAACACTCCTAAAGAATAGCAAAAACAATCTGCCATGAGCTGCACAACTTAACCATACGCATTACCATCAATAATATCACACAATCCCAACACCAAAGTCCACGTGCACCCCACTAACAACCTCTAAAGAGTTAAAGGCATAATGGGGGAGTAATCAAGGAGAAAGTCTTTACACTCTGTTCGATCGCGGACGAGAGGTATTTGTAATGGTTCTAGATTAAAGGTGACAACCTCAGATATAATGTTATTATGACTATTTATAGGTCAGCAAGCAAGATATATCTAATAATTAGATCTTAAATTTTACTCTAATAGACTATACGAGTTTCTGTGTCTATAAAATTTATTTATATGTTGTAATTTTTACGAGGAAATCATGGATCCTTTAATACCTCCGGTGAACGAAAGATTTATCTAAGATTTTCAATCGTAACAAAACTAATAGTTTTCGAAGATTATTTATAGGATATAACAATTATTATAAAGTTTCCACATTTATTATAAAGTTTCTAGGATATATATATATATATATATATATTATTGAAACTCGTCATACTCACATGTCAAGTTTCAAATGTCATAGTTTTCAAAATAAAAAATTTGATGTCGTATTGAACTAAATAATTAACTCGCCTACGGTATTAGGCTAAACTTAGTTTTAAGATTTAATATATTTTTTATGTGTAAAATATAACTATATACAGTCATTAATATTAGGGTTGGGTCAAGTTATGTGCTTGAAATTCTTTGTCGAAGGATCGACCCGTTGAAAAAAAAAATTGTGTTCAAGCCTAATTTTAAATTATTATCAATAACAATAAATAATATAATTTGATGTTACCAATGAAGTAATAAAAATTGGTGAAACAACACCATTTTTAATAAGAATATGAAATGAATTAACAATGTCATATATTAATGACTTAATCAAAATTTTAAATTAAGAATTTAAATTAATTAAATCATTGAATTGAAAAATCGAATCAATTTACTCTTTCATCAATTTTAATAATTATTTTGAACAGTTTTTTTCTTAGATATTATTATCATATGACAATATAAATCCGTCATGTGAAATTTATATTTTTTAAATCGATAAAAATTTATATTAAAAGATTTAATTTAATATAATTTTGTAAAGATTCAAAAAAACTTTAACATCCTTAAGCTTTTATAATTTTATATTTATTTTTTAATTGTTATTTCTTTAATAATTTTAATTGCGATCTGGATACATATAAGACAGATATACTTTATAAAGAAGATGACATATATCTACCACTTAGATGCCCAAAGAATATTCCTAGAAACAATTTATATTTTATTTTTTTTAAGAAATAAACATTCGTTTATTTGAATTAAAAGTTAAATAAGATCTTTGATCTTTTAAATATAATAAATCAAAAGTCGAAATCTTTTGTTTTTTTCCCCTAATTTTAAATCAGTAATTGTGAGTGATGTGGCCTTAACTTTGTTCGAACCACTTATAAATGAACACATAAAATTAACGTAAATTTCATTTTTAATTGGAAAGGCAAGTAATTGTCACTGACGTGAATATGAAGGACTGTTTTAAAGAGAAAATAATAGTTTAAACATGGCGTAGAATTTGACACCATATAATATGATATAATTATATGATTTTAAAATCTCAACGATATATTTAATTATTAAATTTTATAATTTTAAAAAGTTTAATTTAATGAAATAAGTGAAAATTTTAAAATAATAATTGTTAATTTTATTAAATAAGAGTAAACATATGAAATTATAGGAATAATATATAAAAATATGAGTTAATTAATTACATAAGTTTGCTGGCAATGAAAAAAAATATGAAAAAAAAGAAGCGATGCAAAGCAAGAGAGAAAATATAGATTTGATTTTTTTTTTTAAAGATTTTCATCTATATTTTATTAAATACACTTTCCTTTTAAAATTATAAAAAAATTTAAAAGATCAAGAAAAATATATAATGTGCAATTGGTTTACTAGCATTGAAAACTTTTTTTTAAAATCATATTTAATATTACGTTTTAGTTTTATTATGATCATCTTTCTTAAATTTTTTCGGTGATATTAACATGATTTTTTATTATTTATATGATATTATCTTATGATAACATATAAGCATCACTGTTAAAGAATAAACAACAGATGATTTAAACATATTCAAAATGTATTGTTATTATGATTTTGTAAAAAGTAATAGTTAACCGACTAAAGATAGGTAATTTAAGAAATCATTTTAACTCCTATCTTTCAAAAGCTATCAATTAAAGGATCCAAAGCCTTTCCCTCTTATGATTGGCTCCACATCAGCATTCTCCCAATTTATTGGCTATTTTCATACTCCTCCTATTACAGTCCGCCACGTGTCTTCCATGGATCCCACACTATTTTGTTCCTTCGTGACTAAGCAAGAATGAAATAATTGGCACGTAATCACTTTTTTATATAAAATTAAAATATATTACTTAGGATAGACCCATTATATAGGTTAAACTTTTCGATTAAAGTTGAGAGTCATACGTGAAATAATTTATGTCAATTTATTTATTTTTATTAGTGGAACCAAATTGCTTACGAAACCAAGAACTGTAATTTACATAGTTGCATGCCCCTGGCCCAAAGTATAATGTATTTACTAAAATACCCTTGATTTGTACTGTTCATTCAATGACGTGGATCCCGCAGTACCCCTCAGGTTCGCCCATAAATATGAGCCTCCTACGCTGCCTTTCTTCCCTTTTCTCCTCCTTTCCTCCCTTTCCCTTATAATTTTAGAAGCTTTTGATTTATTTTTTATTTTGTTTCGATAATTATTAGTAGTAGTACTAAAGCCATGTTGTAAACTGTTCCGGCCATGTTTTCCTCCGGTTCAAAGTTCGACAACTATCCTTTTCCGGCTTTTGAAAACGGCTTCACGCCGTGGGATCATTGCCCGGAGCTTTTCTCCACTTTCCAAACAATAGAACCCGGCGCAATATTGGGTTACGTTCTAGATGAACCAACCCCAGACCAAAACAACTCGAACTCTGGCTCGGAAGAACCGAACCAACCGGATTCCTCCCTCGTCGACGAACGGAAGAGGAGACGCATGATATCCAACCGGGAATCGGCCAGGAGGTCACGGATGCGTAAACAGAAGCATTTAGAAAACTTAAGGAACCAGGTGAACCGGCTTCGAGCCGAGAACAGAGAATTGACCAACCGGCTGAGGTCTGTTCTTTACCACTGTCACCGTGCAACGACGGACAACGATCGACTCCGATACGAACACAGTTTTCTCCGACGAAAATTATCGGACATACATCAGATTCTCACGTTGAAGCAATTGCAGCAGTTTTCATCTGCATGGCCATTCAATAATGTCGTTACTGTCATGTCCGATCGAACCCCACCATTAATCACTTAAACATGCTTACAAACACACATATATATATGTATGTATATATAATGGTGGGTTTAATTACTTTTGGGGTATATTAATAATTTTGCAAAGTGAGAGGACGAAGAAGAAAAAATGGTCTGTTTTAAAAACCAGAGTATTTTAGTGTAAGAAGAGATAGTGCAGTGTTTAGTAGTAATATATATAAGAAAACTTTTGCTTTTTTTACTTGGTGATCTTGTTAGTATTGGAAAGTGGTCATATTTTAAAGATTTTTCCCACTTTATGTTTATATGAATTTTGGGCCACTCTTAGTGGATGAAGCAAATCATTGAAACTCATTTACCTTGTACATAAATCTAAAAAATGTCGCACGCATGTTCTTAAAAGGATAATTAGGAGGCACAAATTAAGTTAATCGATGGTTAAAAGGATAGTTATTATTCTTAAAAGTTTCGGGTTTGGGCATTAATTGTTGCGGAAGACGGCTATCGGATAGAGTAAAATCGTAACTGATAATTTGAGAAAATAAAAATGAAGATAAAAGAGACACAAAATTTACGTGTAAAACCCCTAAAAAATATAGGGTCAAAACCACGGGCAACGGTAGAAGAATTTCTCTATGAGAAAATAGGAATTACAACCTCTCTCGATCTACCAAGGAGAAAACAATGATAATTCTCTCTAGATAAAAATTAGAAAACAACTCTCAAGAAACTCTCTAAAATCTCTCTAGTATTGGAAGAAAGCTAGAATGCTTTGGGATAGTTTTGAAGCTAAATGAGCTAGGGTATTTATAGTTGAAGCTTTAAGGACTAATTTGTAAATACCCTAAATTACAATGACTAATTGCATAGTTTTACCATCCAAAATTTTCAACAATTTGGTGGCCAAATTTGACCAATTTTGCCACCCCATTAATGCCACCAAATTGCCACCCATAATGTTGACAATTGATGCAATTTGGTGTGCCAATTTTCAACAATCTCCCACTTGAAGATTTGATTGGAACAATCATATCTTCACACCATTCTTTCTACCTTGTACATTTCATGTTGCTTACGTTTCTGACAGGCCACAAGAGGATCAACACCAGGTAAATTTATCAGCATTGATTGCCTTCGTCATGAAATCTGCTATGTTGTCTTTGGTATGGATCTTCTGCATATCTACCGTTCCTTCTTCCACCTTTTCACGAATGAAATGGTACTGAACTCGTATGTGCTTAGTCCTTGAATGAAATGCTGGATTCCTTGCTAGATGCAAGGCGCTTTGACTGTCACAAAACAGAGAGACATACTCTTGATTGTGCCCAAGCTCCTCCAATAGCATCTTTAACCAAATTGCTTCTTTACTGGCTTGTGTACCTGCTACATATTCTGCCTCTGTTGTGGACGTAGCCACAACTGACTGCAATTTTGAAACCCAGCTTACAGCTCCACCAGCAAATTTGAACACATATCCTGTAGTAGATTTGCTTTTATCCAAATCCCATGCATAGTCAGAATCTACATACCCATTGATTAGTAAGTTTGATCCTCCGTAACATAATGCAATATTTGAGGTCCCTTTGATGTATATTAGGATCCTCTTTACTGTATTCCAATGCTCTTTGCATGGATTCTCCATGTACCGACTAACCACTCCCACTGCTTGTGCAATGTCTGGTCTTGTGCATATCATAGCGAACATCAAACTTCCCACTGCTGATGTATACGGTACTCGAGACATCTCCATCCTCTCTTCTTTACTGCTAGGACTCATACTGGAGGATAATTTGAAGTTAATAGGAAGAGGGGTAGAAATTGGCTTACAATCTTGCATGTTAAATCGTGACAAGATTTTCTTCAAGTAATTCTTTTGTGAAAGCCAAATCTTCCTATTACTTCTGTCTCGGTGAATTTGCATCCCTAGAATCTTGTTTGCTGATCCCAAGTCCTTCATTTCAAATTCCCTAGCCAGTTGTGCCTTCAATTCTTTAATATGATCTTTGTTGGGTCCTGCAACCAACATGTCATCCACATACAACAGCAATATAACAAAATCGTTATCACCAGACCTCTTGAAATAAGCACAAGGGTCAGCATTAAGTCTGTTGTATCCAAGGCACATAATGAAGAAATCAAATCTCTTATACCAACACATCGGCGCCTGCTTTAGATCGTACAGAGATTTGTTCAACCTGCAAACCAAATTCTTCTTTTCGTCTTCTTCAAAACCTTCAGGCTGGAGCATATAAATCTCTTCTTCAAGATTTCCATGAAGAAAAGTTGTTTTAACATCTAGCTGTTCCAAATGTAAATTCAATGTAGCACACATTGCCAAGACTACTCGAACTGTTGTTAGTCGAACCACAGGAGAAAAAATTTCATTGAAATCAATACATTCTTTCTTAGCATATCCTTTGACCACCAGTCTTGCACGATATCTCTCCACTTGATCGTCACCATTTCGCTTGATTTTGAAAACCCATTTGTTACCAATTGGCTTCCTTCCTTGTGGTAGTGGCACAAGGTCCCATGTATTATTTTTATGAAGGGCTTCGATTTCTTCTTGCATCGCCATCATCCACAGTGAAGCATCTGAGTTGTTTATTGCCTCCTGGTATGTTGATGGCTCACCATCCTCTGTTAAAAGACAATATGCAATATTACCTTCTATAACATAATCTGAGTGCCAATTGGGACGTCTTCTCACACGATCTGATTGACGAGTTGTTGGAGCTTCATGACTCTCTGGTTCTTGCTCATCATGTGATGGTTCTGCTTCAGAAGAATCTCCTTCTTCAAACTCTTTTTCCACATGTATCTGAGTAGTCTTTGACTTTTCAGCGCTATCATCGTCTTCTTTTCTTTGTAGTTTATCTTCTACAAAGATAACATCCTTGCTAATGATCACTTTGCGGGCAGTGGGATCCCACAAGCGATACCCCTTTACTCCATCAGCATACCCCAAGAATTTGCATTTCCTGGATTTTGGATCCAGCTTTGAAATTTCTTGGGCGTTGTACATCACTTACACAATACTTCCAAATACATGGAGGTTTGAATAATCAACTGGTTTACCAGTCCACATCTCCATTGGTGTCTTCAGCTCTATTGCAGTTGATGGAGCTCGATTCACCAAATAACAGGCGGTATTGATTGCTTCTGCCCAGAATGATTTTTCTAGGCCTGCGTCCCTCAACATTGCTCTTGTTCTTTCTAACAAGGTTCTATTCATCCGCTCTACCACTCCATTTTGTTGAGGAGTGTTCGCCACTGTGAACTGTCTTTTGATGATTTCTTTCTTGCAAAAGTCATCAAATTCTTCGCTTGTGTATTCTCCTCCATTATCTGTTCTGAAACACTTGATCTTATTTCCAGAATCAAGTTCCACCCGCGCTTTGAAGTTTTTGAAAGTTAAAAACACGTCTGACTTCTTCTTAATAGGGTGCACCCAATATCTCCTGGAGTAGTCATCAATAAATGAGACAAAGTATTTTGCTCCACCTAGGGACGTTACTGGTGCTTGCCATACGTCAGAGTGAACCAATTCTAGAACACTTTTGCCTCTAGAATTTGATGTGTTGAATTTCAACCGGTGCTGCTTACTTGTTATGCAATGCTCACACAAAGGAAGTGATACATTTGTTAAGCCTGGAAGTAGCTTTTGCTCCACAAGGACTTTCATTCCTTGTTCTGACATGTGTCCAAGTTTCTGATGTCATAGCATTGCCGAATCTGAACTACATGAGGCAACAGAGGCTTCTACTTCTACCAAAGTCTCTCCCTTCAACATGTACAAGTTTGCAGCTATTTTTTCACCTTTCAGTACCACAAGCGCTCCACGGAACACTTTCATGATTCCTTTATGTGTTTCAATCTTGCTTGCATTATTATCCAACAATCCGTAGGATAATAAATTTTTCTTCAGGCCTTTCACGTGCCGCACATCTCGAACAACTTTAATTGTTCCGTCATACATCTTCAATTGGATGGTTCCCACGCCAACGATCTCTAAGGCATGATCATTGCAACTATAAATAGATCCTTCTGAGATAGGTTCATAATGATGGAACCATTCTCTTCTTGAGGTCATGTGATATGTTGCTCTCGAATCAATGAGCCATATATCTGCAAATCGTTTTCTTCCTTCCACTGTGGTTGACACTTCACAGCATAGTGCATCTCCATCATCTGAAGTGTTTGCAATATTTCCTTGTGGATTGGAGTTTTTATTTAGACTCCAACAATCCTTCTTCAAGTGACCCTTCTTTCCACAGTTGTAGCACTTTAAATTCTTCTTGCTCCTCGACTTTGATCTACCATGTTTGTGACTGCTGCTTTGGCCACGTTCTGTTGATCTCACTCTTGTCGTTGTCAACGCTTCTGCTTGTTGCAGATTTACTTGTCTGTCTTCCTTGTTCTTGCGTCGATTTTCTTCTTGTAGAACAGCAGCTGCAACATCATCGAAGACTAAACTGGTGACATTGTTGTTTGTCAAGTTGATGATGAGTTGATCATACGAATCAGGTAGACTTTGAAGTAGAAGTTCAGCACGTTCTTGTTCTACTATTTTACAGCTTAAGGATGTAAGCTGAGAAAATAAAGTGTTCAGTGTGTTTAAGTGCTCCGTCACTAAAGTAGATTCTGACATCCAAAGAGTGTACAATTTCCTCTTAAGGAAAATTTTATTGTGCAACGATGTGGCATCGTACAATTTGGTGAGATGATCCCATATCTCCTTAGTTGTCTTTTTCTCCTCGATGCTTGACAATACTTCATCTGCTAATGCTAGATGAAAGTTTGCCATAGTATTTCCGTCCATCTCGTTCCATTTGATGTCATCTGCGAAATCCACCGGCCTTTCATTGATAGCCGTTAAACACCCGTCTTTCCTTAGGATGGCCTTCATCTTCAATTTCCACAATGAGAAATTTCTCCCATTGAATTTTTCAATATCAAATTTCGTTGCCATAGCTTCTTCTACGGATAGCTCTCACTATTTCACTATCGTGAATAGTTCTCTGGAACCTTCAAAGAATTGGTAATAACTTCTTATTTTCTTATTTTAGAGGATCCACCTTTTGGTGACAACCACAAAGACAATAAGCAAATATTACACACTCTAATCTAGCTCTGATACCAATTGTTGTGGAAGACGGCTATCGGATAGAGCAAAATCGCAACTGATAATTTGAGAAAATA